GCATATAACCTTTGATTTATACAAAGCAATAAGTTTTTGTTGTGCTTTTTTTTCCATTATAAACTTCTCATTTGGCTGAAGCTTGAGAACCTGTGATGTTCGACTGGATCAGATCAGCAATTGTTTTTAATAATTAAAAAGGGTAATGAAAGTTGATTGCTTGCTGCAAAAAAGCGGCCTCTTCAGCTGCATTGCAGCCAACTCCTTTAAAACTTCCTCTATAAAAAGCAAATTTGCAAAAAAAAAAGCTCGGCAAACCCCCCCTATAAAAGCTTATTTTTTTTTTAAAACACACTTTAAGGAATCTATATGCAAAAAAATTAAAAAAATCCTGTGTTTCTAACAACCTGAATTTTGAGCACAAAGCAACAGAAAAATAGTAATTTTGGAACTATTTGGAACATTACATCGCGCCGAACGCTTAAAACCTGTAAACCTTTTCATCATCCATATTAAGCGCAAGAAGAACGAGGACAGCGGTTATATAAATTGAGAAAATTGTAAAAATACCGATTACAAGGGAAAAAAGGGTAACGAAAGTTTATTGGTTGCTGGAAAAAAGCGGCCTCTCCAGCTGCATAGCAGCCGACTCCTTCAAAACTTCCTCTATAAAAAGCAAATTTGCGAAAAAAAAGCTTGGCAAACCCCTCTATAAAAATTCATTTTTTTTAAAAACACACTTTAAGGAATCTATAAGCAAAAAACTAAAAAAATCCTGTGTTTCTAACTACCTGAATTTTGACTCCAAAGTAACAGAAAAATAGTAATTTTGGAGTCAGCTCCAATGTTACATTTCACCACGACGAGGCTACCGATCATATGATATACCTATGAACCGACAGCTAAAGGTGTGAGGAACCGATTGGTGCCAAAAAATCTGCAGATTTCCAAGAACACACCAGGCGCCTTAATTGAACGTCGGCCATCACTTTTAATGAAGTTGCCAGCAAACCCGTATACTGTAGCTCGCGTCCCGCCGCGAAAAAATTTTAACACAAACTGGAAATGAAGACGCTTATAACTCCATTCTATGTTGACAACTGGAAAGGGGTCTCAACTTTTTTTTTGTTTGATTGTTTAGGATTTTAAACCTGTGCCTGTTCCGTACTGCGCAGTTGTGTTTAATGACAAAGGATGGAGACAAAAAAATCTTTTTCTTGATGTTTTGCCAAGGGTTCCTTTGATGCCTATTTGCCAAAAATCATAGTTCCAGATTTCTCATCATCAGAGGTATGTCTACACTTCCCTCTTAGTAATGCGGCGTTAAAGTGTGCTTTATTCCTTCCTTTCATGCCTTTAACAAACTACTGTTACATTGATATTCTACTATTGTAATGTAATGCAGTGGGACTGTTATGCTACGTAACGGTGAAACTGTGTAAGGTGTAGGTTTTTCTGTATTCATGTATATATGGTGAAATTACGGATAAGGAGAACGCGAGTCGACCTCAGAACCTCAGGTTTTGAATCTAAAGGAAGAATACGTGAACTTTCTTGGGCTAAGGTTGATGTAAAAGATAAGAACGTTTCACGAGTGAAGTAGAAAGAGAAATGTGGAGTAAAGAACATAGTTCGTGACAAGTATGTGAAATTAAAACAACTTTGTGACGAAGTAAGTAAAAAAAAAAAGGAAGGCCGAAATCCAACATGATACCAAACAGTCCTTTTAAAAATGGGATTTTGTGCATATTTCGCTTTGTGCAGAGTCATTACTGTTTCTTTGGCTGCTGAAACTTATGAAGAGAGGAATTTAAGATTATTACTGTGGGCGTATTTGAATAACTGAGAGTGTATTCCGTTTTTTTACTGAGACTGCTTTTGTGGTTAGAATTTTTTCATTCAATTCTATCATTTTATCGTTGTCCTCATGAAAAGCAAAGTAAAGTATTTTTGTGATGTTTACAGTTTTACAGCTTTTTTTGCGTCCGTTATTACTTTGTTCGTAAAATTAATGTTCGTGTTCGTTTGTTCTCTTTTATTTATTTATTTTTTTTCAGATAAGTTCGATGACATAAAGTTTATACGATTCCGTCTAATGTAAAGTAATGGTCAGTTTCTTTTTGTTTGATAATGATCTTTTAGATAGCTCTTAGTCTTTCTGTACGTTGTCAGCAGTTTTCCTTTTGCTTCTGTAGTATTGTATCTTTCTTCAAAGAAAGATTTATGGTTTCTTACATAAACGTCTTGTTTTGTTTAGTTTATTTCATTCATCTTTTACTTTCGTTTTCCCTCTAAAACATCCCAGGCAGCACTTAGAAACAGGTAGTTTTTGAAAAACCTGAGTATTACTTCACTATATTGCATACTTTAAGCTCCTATGATTTCAAGGATTTTGAAAACCTGAATAATTTTTCAGCTTTTAGGGTAAATTAAAACAGGCACGAAAATTTGCTACTCGTTTAGCGAAGACGTTAAAACCAACTGATGATAGAATGTATGTCGTTCCAGCAGTAATTCGTATCTTCATGCTTATTATTTTTCGACCACTCCCTTTTTTAATACATCGAAAATTATTGTTTAAGCTGAATTAACCATAGTGTTAATTTATTAGAGATGAGAAAAACCGAGTAATAAGGAAGAAGAAGGAGGATGAACAAGCGATTAAAATCACTGAAACGTAAGTTCTATTTAACTATTTTCAGGCAGTTTCTGTGCAAAGTCTGTTTGGAGGATTTTGAAAGCTGATTTCCTTTTGCTAATGTAGAAGTGGTCTCGTCTTTTCCAGTTTTCGTTTTTAAAGTCGTTTTTCAGGCCTCAGTTCTCATCGGCAATGTTTTTGAGATATAACAATCAGTTGGGCCCTCCATTTCACGTTATAGTTGATACAAACTTCATCAACTTCTCAATCAAGTATAGAATTGATATGATGCAAGGCTTTATGGATTGCCTTTTTGCAAAAAGTATTTTTTTGAAACTTTATTTGCTGCACAGTATTTCATGGTTTCTTACAGAAACTAGTGCTTTTGAAAATTCCGTGCTTTGTATACTGCCTTCAGCTACTCCTTACATAACGGATTGTGTTCTGGGTGAGCTCGAGAAACTGGGTCAGCGATGTATAGTTGCAATGAAAATAATTAAAGATAGCAGATTTAAACGCCTCAAATGCATGCATAAAGGGATCTATGCTGATGATTGTATAGTTCAGCGTGTAACCCAGGTAAGGGTTTGGTGGTTTTCAAGAACTTTTAACTGCCTTTTTTGCATAAGGTTTTTGTGGAAATTGCAGTGGCCTTTGAAAATTAGTTGGGAAGAATTGGCTCACTGCCTCCTTTATTGCAACTTTTCAGGCTTATGCCTGTCAATAATTCTAATCTATCAAAAACTGCTTTAAATTTTTCAGCATAAATGCTACATTGTTGCAACTTGTGATAAAGACTTGAAGAGGAGGATTCGGAAAATACCCGGAGTGCCGATAATGTACATAAGCCAGCATAGGTATTCTATAGAACGGATGCCCGACGCTTACGGTGCTCCAAAAATGTGAAACATCCCTGCGCGAGGTGGATACAGCCTGATTTGTTTTGGTATT